AAATAGTAAAATTTACTCGTTGTTTATAAATTTATTTTTCTCAAATTCCCTTTTTATCAAACATGCCATTTAATGCATTGCCTCCTTTCATTTATAATTCTTTCAAATTGAGTTTATACTATTTTCTCAGTCAAATTTCTAAATGTTAATCTAAACATCTGTTGTTGTAAGGAAAGGAAGAAATTCAAAATAAGTTGGTTTTTGTGTGGATTTCTTATTTTAAATTCTCCAGCTTATTTAGGTTGGTATAAAAAAAAGTAAATTTAAAAAAAAATTAAAATTTTAATTTTACTATTTTTATATTTTTTGGGAATATACATATAGAGAAAATTATGAGAAATAATCTTTTGTTTTAAATTTCAAGGCACCATTTCTTTTGAAAAAGCACAACAAGAAAACAAAAACAAACAAAAGCACCCTCACCATTATCATCAATAACCAAGTTCAGGTCTCACGAGATAAACAGTTTTTTTTTTTTCTTTTTTTTTAATGTTATTCGAAAGGACAATGCTTTCTTTTCTTTCGTGGATTGGGCTCAATGTATGGAAAACACCAAACCAAACACTGATAGTCTTCTCATACCTATAGATGAAGGGTTTCATCTATTTGTACTCTGGAATGGAGGATTAGAGGCTGATCAGATGTTGGTTTTACAGACAGTTTGGTCTTAAATCACATTCACATTAAACCCTAGTAGAGCTCTCCCACTAACACCATTAAAGCAGTGGTCATGCTCCTGTCCAAGAACCAGAGCAACTGTCACCGTCACAGACCAATGGAATCATGCAAGCCAAGGGAATCAACAGGAAGACAGAGGTGTCCCAAGAGTACAATTCAAAATGATGGACAAGATGGTCCAAGAAAGGAGCTCTAAGTCTACGAAGAACTAGTTTCTTGGGCTTGTATTAATTTCTTTTTATTAGTTTTGAACTTTTTACATGTTAGGCAAACAATTTGAAAATTTAGACATTCAAATCAACAAAAGAATTAGTCTCTCGGGATGGAAGGAAGATCTCTGCATATACATAGAGGGTTGTGGGATGGAGGTTGTGTTCTTTTTTAGGTCAAAGAAGTAGTGTTCTACGAGTAACCTCATTAGATTCCACAAAGACACACCTCATTATAAATGAAGGGTCATAACAGGTATAATTTTTGAAAGCAAACCCAAGAATTAGGAACTTAAAGCTTGAGGATTCTCCCATATATTATAGAAATTTCCAGTTTTCACACGCAATGTCAATTAGCTCCTACCTTTTAGTCAGCTGGGGCCTGGAGGACTCTCTCTCTCTCCCCTGCTCTTTTTCTCAGTTCTTTTCTTTTTGGGCTGAGAGCTTCCTATTTTGGTCTTTTGCCTCTTCAATTGGTTGGGCTTGGCCCATTACTGGGCCGGTGGATCATTCCCAGGAAAAGAGAAGGGACAAAAAGAGAGGGAAAAACAAAAAAAAAACAGGGTGATAAATTACACTCCCATGAAATTATCTAATTTCATTCACCCACGGGCCATCTTTACAATTGCCAAACTTTCAAATATAAGATCTTGAAAACTTTTCAAATTTACATAAAAATTATAAGAGAAAACTATTATTTTGGTACATGAATTTTTTTTATCAATTTGATACATTAATGATTTTTTTTTCTATCAATTTAATACATCAAAAATTCTTTTTTTTTTTTATCAATTTGGTATATTAATATTTTTTTTATCAATTTAGTACATTAATCTTTCAAAATTATAAAATTAGTACATTCATGTTAAAGTTGACTATCAATCAATTTGACCTGCATAGATGGAATGCTTGCAGAACAAAAGGTTTGATGACATGTCATTAGAGTACTATCATTTTAACATATGAAAAATTAATTTTTTTTTATCAATTTGATACGTCAAAAAGTTTTCTTATCAATTCAAAAATTGACAGTACTTTAGTTTTTCATATCTAATGTTGTACCTTTGTAGGTGAAAGAGATGCATTTGTCTCAGTCACTTTCTGATAGTTAATTGCTAAATTGCGAAAAAAAAAATTGTCACATGTATATTTTAATAAGTATTTATGTGAATTTCATTTACCACACTTACATGTGATATTATTTCTGTTTCTTTTTTTTAATTGATAAGAAAACTTTTTGATATACCAATTTGATAAAAAAAAAAGTTAATTTTTTATATGTCAAAATAATAGTACTCCAATGACATGTTATCAAACATTTCGCCACGTAAGCATTTCATCTTTACAGATCAAATTGACTGCTAGTCAACTTTAAGTCAAATGAATGAATGTACTACATTTTATAACTTTAAAAGATGAATGTACAAAACTGATAGAAAAAATCATTAATGTACCAAATTGATAAAAAGAAAATTTTTTATACACCAAAATAATAGTTTTCTCAAATTATAAATTCGACTCTTCATTCCTTTTTTTTTTTAAATTAGATTTAGATGTTCAATATAATTAAGAAAAGAAAAAAATCTTGGACTTGTGGCCTTTTTTGTGAAAAATTTCAAATAGATCATTAGGTTTTATAAAGCAAAAATTGAAAATAATAACGGTGGACTTTCTTTTAAATATTGAGATGAAAAAAAAAGTAAAATTCAAAATTGAAATTTCATTCTCAAAAGTCATGACTTATATAATTTTAATATCAAAATTATAATATGAATAAGTTTAAATTTTTTCCAATAAATTTTAAAGTTGAAAGGAATTTACGAAACCTATTATTCCACCTTTTTTTGTCTTCGGAATGAAGTATTCTATAAATGACATTAAACCGTGCCGAAGCTTACTTGTACACGTAGTGTTCCCGAAGCTTAATGCTTAATAATTGTAAGGGTTTTTTTAATTTGAAAGGCTCCATCAATTGAGTGGCTTTCCCTTTCGTTAATTTGGGAAATTAAAAATAGGTCCTACAGTTAACGGATATTTTCAAGATAAGCCCTTCAATTTAATAATTTAAAGTTCCAGGCAAATTAGAGTTGGACTTTGTGGCAGGAGCAAGGTGCTTTCCTCGTCATTACCCGATTAGACCTACCTCCATTGTGGAGTTGCTCTTGTCCAGCGGCTTGCACCAGACCATAGCAATATATGAAGTTTCTAGAGTCAAAAAAAAAAAAAAAAAATGCCACGTGGGCTTACATTTGCGGGTGACAGCAGCTGAAAATTGAGGTCAGAGGTGACAAATTTGAATAAGAAATTATTAAATCATATGAAATGATATAAATTTATGAAATATAAATACATGGTAAAATTCATTTTATATAAATTATTTTACTGAATGTTCAAAATATATTAAAAAGAACCGCTATGACTTTCAGTTTTTCAAATTTGATTTAAAAATCATATATGTCTTTCAAGTAAAAAATACAATATTTTTATTCCTTCAATTTAATATAAATTCTAGTGTTATTACTCAGTTCACTTTTTGTCTAATTTTTAACATTTTTTGATCGTTTAAATCTCATATATAAAAGTTAATAATTAGGGTTGTGATCGAATTGAATTTAAATTAAATCAAGTAAATTTTAATCTAAATCTAATTACTCATTTTTGTATTCGAATCTGATTTAAATTTTGTAAAATTTATATTTGTTAAATATATCTGAATCCGACAGATAATTCATAATATAATAAGAAAATTCAATTCGATAAGAAAATAGTACTTTTTTATAACCATTTCACTTTATTTTATTAATTATATTAGTTCTTTAATTTTATATTTTTCAATATAATTCACATAAGTTTAAATTTATTAATATTATATATGTAATTATTAATGTAATAAAAATGATATTAAAATTTAGATTCAGATTTTTAATAGATTCGATTACTTCATTCCACGTCTATTTTAAATTATAAATATTTAAAATCAAATCTAATATATCAAATATTTTAATTGAATTTGAATCTTCAAATTTGAATTGAATACAAATCATATTCGAATTAAAATTTAATCTATTAACAATTTTATTAATAAAAATAAATTTAATTAAGAAAAAAATAGGTAAAAGATGACAAAAAAAAAAAAAAAAAAAACATGGAGCACACTGTTTATGCTACGATGGCGTCATTGTTTTTTCATCTTGTACCTTATTTTTTTCTTAATGTTTTAGGGGGGAAAAAAAGAGGTTAAACAGTAAAATGATAAATTATATTATAATTTATAATAAAATTAAAGGATAAAAATATTTTTATTTTTAACTTGAAAAAATAATATAAAATTTAATCCAACTTTAAGAAAATAACAGTGAAATTTTCCCAGTAAAAATATGTGAACATATTCACCTTGATTGAGTTATGGTAAGATGATTGTTTTCTCACTCCTCCTATTTTAAAAATTATTGTAAAATATTAAAAATAATAATTAGACTTTTTATAAAAATAATATATATTTTCTATTTAGTAAAATAGATAAATTCCAAATTTTGATAAATAGATAAATTTTTATTCAGTTCAAGAGAACCGACTCTTCTTCTCTCCCCTCTTTTAACAGAACAGTATTCGGGTATTCTGCTCTGAATACGTTCCCTCTGTTCCAACTCCATTACCAAAAGATACATGAGAGAGAGAGAGAGAGAGAGAGAGAGAGAGAGAGAGAGAGAGAGGAGGAGGAGGAGGAGGAGGAGGAGGAGGAGATGATAATGATGAAGAAGAACTAAGTATACATAACAGGACGACCTGAATTGAATTAAGCGTAACAACATTTGGAATTGGATCTGCAATGCGAGCCCGTGTTATCCAGGGGATTATGTATGTATTGATCGAGTCTAACATGATTTATATATAGCACTTCCAGCAAAGAGGAAATGCATTAATTTACAAAATAAAATAAAAATTGCCCTCTAAAATTTTATTCCCTAACCCTAACTCCGTAATCGACCTGAACAAACACGAGCACGAATAAGAATGAGAGGGAGAATACTAAGTGTCCGTGACAGAAGAGAACCTGAATTGAATTGGCTGTGGATGAATTATTTTGACTTTGAGCTGCAATAGGAGCCCGTGCTATTGAGCGAGGAAGGAATGAAGTGGAGCTGGCAGTTCAGGTGGAGCGTAAACTTGACCGATCCGAGAAGCCAGACCCGCCACTGCGTCCTTGCCGTGCCTCTGAGGTCGAACGTTACCCTGTCCTGCTTGAGGCTGGAGTCGACCATGACCGTCTGCTCGGGACCGAGTGGAATTGGTGACGACGCGACCTGGTAGTGGAACTCGACGGAGCTGTTCTTCTTGACCTCGAACGGCGGCGCCACCAGCTTCGCAATCTCCATGCCGTAAAGGCTCAGGACGAAGCCCGAGTCGTAGAAGCTCGCATGCGCTCTCGCGTTGTCGTTCTCCCACTTCAGGTATATTGTCACCTGTAGTTTCCGACTCAGAAATCAGAATCTTACTTCAGCAGACAACTAGAAGAGATCCATTTCTGTTGCATATTCCCCCAGAAATTTAAATTTCGCCTCCAAAAGAAAATTTAAATCTGGTGACACTTCAAAATTTTAAATTCCGCGCAGAGAGAGGAAATCCGTCTGGCAAAATGTGCTCTGAGAATTGTTATCAGGAGATTTTTCATAGAACAAAAACCAAATTTAGAAAATAATTTAAAAAATATTGTGAAAACTAAAAATAGCTCGTCGGTCGTTAGTTAAAATATTAAGAAAAATAAAAAGTTAATTTTCAGAGGTAAGATCATAAAGGTGGCGGTTACCTCGGTGGTGAGCAAGCCAGCCTGGTCGTAGTCGAAGACGTCGAGGTGGGTGTAGGTTACAGTGATGGATGGCATCTTGGGCCGCACGATGAGGTACCCCACGAAGATGACGAGGCCGGTTATTATGACTGCGATCGTGATGACGGTGCAGAGGACTGCGATGAACCATATGAAGAAACTTGTGCGTCTCGGTTGCTTGGGCTTTGACATTGCTTGCTAACTTCTTGGTGGTGGCGCTGCCCTAACAGCCCCAACATCCGGCGCAACAAGGCGGCGGTAGCTCTTAATTACGTGCTAGGGAGAGAGAGAGAGATATGGAAGGTCAGAGAGCCATGGAGGGACACGGAGAGGTGAAGAGAAGATATTGTGGCAGAGGAGAGGGGGGCGGGGGGTACTTGGCTCTCTTTGGGGGGAAAGGTTTGGTATCTTCCTTCCCTTGAGATAAAGTCACCATAATTGAACTTTCCCTATTTGACCCCCGCAAAGAAAATACCGAACTTGCCCCTTTTTCCGCTCTGCTGATTGACAGAGTGGTTTTGGCTTACTCTCTCTGCTTGGATGGACAAATGTGGCAAGCAACAAATGGGTCTCAAGACTGCATTTCAATATTTTTCTTTGGGAGGGGACACTCAATTTTAATAATTTTTAAATTATTTTTATGATATTCATCTTTCCACAGACACTTGAATTTTTGTAGTGCGACTTATTTAATTATTTATCAAACCATTTAACAATATCTTGTCATTTGATTTTTTTTTATCACGTTATGGAATTAATTTAATACATGATCACACTCTGAAAGCATTCAACTCTCACAATGGCATGTTGCAAGGACTTGGTAGGTTTCTTCTTTGGGCTAAAGCAATACCAATATTATAACACCCAGCAAATGCAGAAAAGCTAGAAGCTTCAATTAATGGCATCTTTGATACCTCTTCTAGCAGCAAGCAAACTTCAAATTAAGCACTTTTGTTTGCTTGAACTATTTAAGGTATCTTGCATGACTTCATATACCACCAAAGAGATGCTTTATGATGGTGAAAATTAATCAACAAGCCTGCTGTTTCTTCTGTCTCTTTGCACTAAAATAGGTTTCTAGAAAAACCAAAAGCCCCTTGCTGCACTAGGACTTCTAACATAAGTTATAGGGCTAAGCATGTTCGTTGAAAAGGATGAGGAAGGACTGTTATCACATAAAAGGCAGGGAATGGCGTAAGTAGAGACCAAATGTTTAACCCAGAAGAGAGAATAAACAACGATATATCCATCACAGGTGAACTTATTAACGGTTCAAAACAAAATCATTAGTGAACTCAAAAAATCTGCACGGAAAAATTCTATGGCACGTAACATCATCTAAACACTTGGTACCTCAATCCATTGCATGTAAGCGTTTCAGTACAGAAAAAAGCCCACTAGTTCCCAAATTTAATAACCCACCTACAAAAGATTCCCCATTGATCAACTCATCTTTCATAAGTTTACGAGGGTTTTGTAATCAGTCTTCGTTCATAGCCTAGGATTTTCTTGTTAGTCTTAGTAATAACTAGTGCCTGACTAGGAATACTTCCAGACAACATATAGCCACATACAACACAACATGTTCAATTTATCAAGAAATGCAGGGTTGTTTTCCAGAGTCTTGGGAAACCAAAAAATTAAAGAAAAAAAAGGTAAAAACACTGCTTCAACTGCCTCTAGATGTATTAGAAAGTTGAGAATAAGCCAATTTATCACATTGTACAACTTCATATTTTCCTGTTCTGAGTAATAACAAGTCATTCCCAATGTCATAGATCCCACCCACACGGCATGTGTAGATTTTGGACATAGTATTGCCGCTACACATCATAATAGGTTAATTTTTTGAAAAAAAAGTAATATACATATGGTACCAGAGCCATCCTAGGCACTACCATGTGATCTCCACCCTTCATGACAGTATCATGATTTGAATGGAGATATGTCAAAAATCTCACATTAAACGTGTACTAAAAAAACCTTATACATTTAAGTGTTATCATTGTACATCTTAACAGGTTGATCTTTTGAGGAAAAAGTAATAAATACACTTCAATAGGTTAACTTGTTGAGGAGAGAGTAATTGACACATAACACTAGCATCATCGTAGCAACCATTGAAGAAGTGATTGGTAAAATTTTCAAATATTTTCTTCCATCATATCTGTAGTTAGAAAAGCTAAATCAATTAGAAAATCTACAATGTAACCATAGGCAAGCATGCATAACAAGAACTCGAAGCAAGATTGTGATAAAGATAAAGAGGAGTTAAGAATAAATTAACCTATTGTGACACCTCAAACGGAGGGTGCATGATCTTTTAGGTGAATCTCACATCGATAAAACACAAGAGAGATGCTAAGTTTATAAATATACATGCCTCAACGTTGGTAAATGCACTTTAAAACTACGAGGACCTGAGGCCAAAACAGATAATATTTACTAGTGGACTGAGCTATTATAGAATGGTATCAAAGCCATTCTACGTGTAACCTTGAACGGTGGTGGGGGCAAATTTCAGTGAGAACATTGAGTCCCAAATGGGGAGCGTGTGACACCTTTAGGCGAATCTCACTTCAACCAAACACGAAAAATATGCTGAGCTTATAAGTGTGCATGCCTCAATCTTGGTGACATGTTTGAAAACCGTGACATCTTAGACCTAAAGCGAATAATATTTACCAATGGGCTGGACTATTACACCTATGATCAGTACCAAACTTGTAACTACCAGCTTTTGTGTTGCTAAACCTTTAGAAGAACAGCATTTGTTTTTTGTACCCGTGCCATGTCTTTGTGCCTGCCTCATCCCTGACAAAGATCTAGTCATCTAAAAGTACTCACAAACAGGTTCAACAGAAACAATATAAAACCCCTGTAGGAGCTAAACACAATTTGATAAATTGTGGACACATGACACACAAAAATAAAGAAAAGCAACATATCTGGATACACAGTCTGTCCTGTAATTCAGTTTAACTGATCAGCAAACTAGCAGTTTGAGAGTTTACATGTATCATTAAAAAATGCTAAGGTAAAAATATTATTTACTTTGCTTGTAGGAAAAGATGCCTTGTTCAGACTTCCTTTATGTAATCAACTTCCTAATATCCTAACATTACCCTGCTACAAACAAGTCAATCCAAAGCCATATAGTCATCACAATACAAAGCAAAGTAGAAAATATCCACTTCTGCATATATCTTTTCCAATCACACTTCATTCAAACTTGCATAAAATGGCTGTCCATGGGACCAATCCCATCCATGAGAAAAATAACAAATATAAGAAGCAAATAAACAAAATTAATTGAGCAAATAAAAACACATCAGCAAAAGTTATGTACTTAAGAACCCTCCTAAATTCTACATCAGAACACAAAATCTGAAAACAAACTGGATGCCATAAATTCCAAGGAAAGTTTAAGACAGAGAGTAAAAAATTAGAAGTTAAAACTCCTGAGAAAAATTGTCAACACTCTGCAAGAAATGACTCAGCATGCTGGCCAACCACTTTGGCATTCTGAACAAGATCACTAGGCAACCTTGCCCAAACCGAATCTGTCATCTGCCTCTGTATCTCTGCCACCAATGTTTAAATTCAGCAACCATATGCAAAGCAGGATAGTTGGGACTGCAGTTTTTTAAATGAGGTGCCAGCAAAGACCACCTAGCACATCAGAATGTTACAAACAGCCCAACTGCTAAATCAGATTGGAAACCAACTGCTTCCCCTTCCTTCTGGCCAACAAGATACTTCGGGCTTAGGCAGCCAACAGAATCCAATCACCAAAGAATTTCAAGCCTGATCATGAAGTCCCACAGATAGAGGCTAGGTTAACAAGCTAACTAAATCCAAGTCCAGAGAGTCGTCTGTAATAGAAAAGAGACTACTTGCTCCATAAACAAGTGCTTTGCACCAAGAGTAAATTACATTTGGCCTCAATCCCATTTTTCAAGTTATAGACATCCATTGCACACAAGAATGCAGGCAGTAGGGAATAAAGTCTTACAATGCCTTGCCAAACCAGGCCAAAGTTTTTGAAAACATTAGGTGCCCTTAATGGGCCAGGATTCATAATTGCCATAAGCTCTAGGTGCCATACTTGGCACTCACTTGAAAAAAGTGAGGCTCCATTTAAAAAATAATTATTGCACTGAATAGGACAAAGGACAAGGCTCATAATTTTAGAAGATACTCCAGTTGAACCTTTAGTTTGGAGTGTGCTATATATACCCATGCTAATGTAAGAAAGCTACAAAAATGAAAAACAAAAATTTTGGATACAAACTCTTTCCCAAACCATTTGATGATCTAATTTTTATGGAAAATGAAGACCAGAAAGCAAATTCAGAGCAAGGGGAATGGAGAATTGATTCATTTATATTTTTATAGACAAAACCCATGAGGAAAAAAATGATTTTGCTGTCTAAGTGAGGGAAGCAGGAGATCAAACAGAGAATAGGAGTTGTATTAAAAGCAAGCACTCAATAAAGTTGTAATGAAGGCAGTATATGGGTAACTTAACCTTTTGAAATAGAAATTCTCTTATACTCCATTAGAATGATTTCCCTTATACATTTGCATAATCAGGAATTTGACCTAACAACATAACTTCTCAAGTACAGAACTTTTGAGCAGGAGAATTGGACATGGCTTGACTAGTGTGGACTAATGCGAGGCGCTAAGGTTCTTCTGTGCCTTGCCTCACCTTAGCTGAGTGTCTAAGCAAGCCAAGCAAGGCTTGTCTGCAATCCAGGCACCTAATCCAAATTGCTGCATACAGCAAGGATTTGTCTGATAACTAAGTTGGGAAATTTTCGTCAATTAGCTTGATATTTAGAAGATTAAAGATGGTGGGAGGAGTCCTAAGCCCCATAAGATATGATAATAAGACTGAATAGGATAGGATTATATGGTGGGACAAGGTACTGTATAGTGCTTGTTTGCTTTTACTTGAGATCAACATTAGGATGAGGAAGGAAACATGGGCCTCCAAAGTTTTTTACCGTTAACTATATAAGAGGAATTGTGGAGTTATAAAATTTGTCCATCTGATAAAGATCCAAATCTGGAAGTAATCCTCTAACCCTATGATCAACAATCCCAAAGGCAGTATAGGTTTGGGTAATCCCACAGAAAAGAGACAACTAGTCCCCCCCTATTCCAAATCCAATTCCCATCAAGCA